TGACTCATGATCTTTTGCTTATCTCCCTTTCCCTTGCTAATGGTAGTGGAAAACTTGAATCCCTTGAAGTTCCCAAAGCGGACGTAAAAATACACTCACTCAGGAGTTACCTCCCTTTTGCCTTTTCCTGCGCAAACAGTCATGTGACCAGCCTAACTTGTCACTCTCTCCTAATTTTTCTGCCCATGCACTTGGATCTGCTATGTCCGAAGTGTTTCCAGCGGGAGGTTGGGAGGGCTTCTCGTCATGAGTCAGGATAAGTATGAAAATATCAATTTTACTTGAAAAATTACATATTTTTTCTTATCCTGACTCATGATCTTATAGAATCCGACGGATCAAGTGGTGGGTCAAGCCACTTCGTGGATTCATCAGCTGTCCTTAGATAAGTCCTGTATCCCCCATGGGAACTGTAAAACGGCATTTCCGGTATCCTATTCTTCGAACTTCCGTTATAACTCCGGGGGACCACTTTCTTGTCTTACTTCAGTCTCAGACAAGTTGAATCATGTTGATTCATGTGGCTACAGATAAACTAGTATCTTCTTATTACTTTCGTCAGGTAGTGATCTTTGTTGTCCGTGAAAACGTGGGGAGAGTCGAGCATGATGTTGAGATTCCAGTCGATTTGGGATGGTACTAATACCCATTTGTTGTCGTTTTTGAAGATGAGAGTGTACTGCGTGTTTCTGGAGACGGCCGTGGTCTCGACGTCGTCCAGGTGGAACAGCCTGCCGCGGAACGCTGGGGTTATCGTCCATTTGTCCTCGTCGTTGCGGATCAGGTCGTATCGCGTGATGTTGACCTCTCCTTCGGTATCTACGTAATCGCCTAGGTCGTTGCCACCACCACCAGCGGCAGTAGAGGGTGGCAGTTTGACGCGTTTGTAAATGTTGTTTTCAGTTAAAAGCGTACAGTTTGCCGTCGTCCGAATCCGAGCTTGTCCCCAAGGTCGGAGATAGCTATGTTGGCGCATTTTCTAACTCGTGTTCCTGGACCTTGAGACTCTGTCATTGTCGTATGTGCAGCCTCACACTGAGATACCCTATACTTACAGGATCGTGTTTAACGTCTAAAACCGATATTTTCAATTCCGTGATGTTGCCTCGGATTAAATTCTTGTAATGCCGCGACGAAAACAATTCGGTTCTGCCGTCGTTGTACTTTTCCGTTTTCACCAGCACTGCTCTCAGCAGTGTGGAAGGTCGTTCGCCTTGAACGTTGTCTGTCGTGCTCTGCTGATTGAGATGAATGCACAGTTCGTGATACGGAACGAGATCGGGTAATTTCGTGCCGGTCACGGTGGTTTCAGGTTGTATGTCATTCGACGTAAACCCGAGGGTTTAATCCTATGGACGACTGAGCCTCAAGCCGTTTTTTCCGTTGTTGGCTAACCTGACCCTGCCGTTCGAGTCGTTCATTTTGAGTTCGGCTCCCATGGGTTTGAAGATTTCTTCGTTGAGCGAGCACACGCTGTAGTAGCCGCCCGTTACTTGGTTGTGGATGTTATTGACGAAAAGCCTGTTGTTGGTCCATCGTGGGTAGTAGGGGATATCGCAGAGCGCGACCTGACATGTTATCGATCGCATGCAGCGGTTGAACGGACTCACCGCCCGTGATTCCAGGAAGCGTCACGTACATATTGAAAAAGTAGATATGTATACTATATAACAATTCAAATATGTACAAACCGGGAGTGTTTTATTCTAAAAGTGATAATATAAGTGCTACCTATTTCACGCAACTGAGTATTGTGCAGGGCTCCAGATAATTTTTGAACACCAGGAGTACATACTCCTTATTTTTTCAATATAGGAGTACTCGAAAACCTTAAACCTACATTTAGAGTACTGAATGGAATTTAATGGAGTATCAGTAATCTTGTGTTTCGTTTCATATATGCACCACAACATTGCTAGTCTTGTGTAAACAGGTCAATATACAATAAAACAATACTTTTTCAGATAAATACGTCTGTAAATGATTCTAAGACCGTACACCATTGCCGTGGTGCGTATCTGCTATGTTTTATAAATTATTTCCTACCGTATCGTGCAAATTTTTTATCCGTACATACGCCGATACGGACCTTATCTGGAGCCCTGATTGTGGTCGATGCAAAGGATGGTTTACATTTCATGGTTTGGTTCATCGACGTGTTTAAAAATTACTGGTTTTCTTTTAAGAATGTGAAAACGGTACACACTTGGTTCCACAAACCGGTGCAGTTCTGGCAGAATCAATTCAATTTCGCTGTGTGGTGCGCGACGACCGGGTGCGGCGTGACGTTGAACGACACTCATTGTGATGCGCTGAGTCGGTCCGTGTTCTATTTTCAGATCAGACGTATCCTGAAAGAAATCAGAGCCCCGATTCCGCAGGACAAGGTGCAGAATGCTGTAAACAATCCATACGATCGACGTGCGTATGAACGCGTATGTGGTGAATTCGAACTAGATCCGAAGACGGTCCATTGGCGGTTTGGGCATTCCCATCGTTCACGACATGTATCTCGTGGAAGCCAGCAAACAGTTGGTGAAAGATTGGGGTTACAAGTCGTATCATTACGTCAAGACGAACGAGTGGAACGACCATTACATGGCTTTCTACGACAGCAAGGATTACCGCGTTTGGAGGTTTGAGCAGGGACCCCCGGATGATTGGAAAATGTTCATGCTGGACACCTCGAAAGGGTTTACTTGTGCAGGTGTTGTCAGATTAAACGATTCGATTTGAACGGATGTGTGGGCCCTGCTGGGCGCTCAGACACAAACGCGTTCCAGCATCCTGGGTCGTGAAGGGTTGGCTTACGACGTGCAGGAACAGTTCATGGCTAACGTCGAGGATGCCATTGCTAGACCGGTCGATCTACCGAGTGCCATCGAACCCTATCAAAACGCGCTAGAATACGCCCGGTTCGAAAGTCGACTACGTGTTCGGCGCGAGACTGTACATGGCTCCGATCAACATGCGACTGAGGGTGAACAGAGTGGTGGGCTACAACAATGAAATCATCATCGCAACTGCTGATCAAAAGTTGGGTTTGAACCAGGACGTCAATAACGTGAGTCGAGTCATGTCGCAGTACGAAACGGGCATCGTGGCACCGACACCGGAAGAAGTAGCCCCACCAGACAAAAACAGCAGCAGCTGCCCCCACACGTGCAGGCAAACCATCAGCGGCACGTCAATTGCAAAACAGCGCTGGTGGTCGGCGGTTGGACTCTGCCTCATTTGGTTAAAAATTCCTTAGCCGTGATATACACCAGACCCGCCACGTCGACGACGCAGCCCACAGGTTTTGACCGAGCCACGTGACCGTTTTCGACAAGAAGCCTAACAACCAGGAAACGATGCTGCCCAAGATGCCAGGCAGCGCTTCGGCCGCTTTGCCGGCCAGTTAAGCCAGGGCTTCGCCGAGAAATTTCAAATGTTTTTCATCCAGTCTCTGACGTCGTCGCCTGATGATGATGGCCTTGTTGGTGTTGGTGGTGTACCGGTATCGATATGGTGAAGCCCAAAGCCGTGAGAACGCTGGCGATGGTTATTCTTTGTTCCCGGAACAGAATTCGGATCCTGTCGGCCAACGTGGTGTCCTCGTTCATGACTCAGACGATGGTTTCGCACTCATGGCTGATTTGCGATCGGAGGGCGATGGTTATTCTTTGTTCCTGGAACAGAATTCGGATCCTGTCGGCCAACGTGGTGTCCTCGTTCAAGACTCGGACGATGGTTTCGCACTCGTGGCTGATTTGCGATCGGAGGGCTTACCAGTTGGAGGAAGCGGCTTCCAATTTGGTCCGTCTCTCGTCGATATGGTGAAGCCCAAAGCCGTGAGAACGCTGGCGATGGTTATTCTTTGTTCCCGGAATAGAATTCGGATCCTGTCGGCTAACGTGGTGTCCTCGTTCAAGACTTTTTTGGGGGTGTGGGGTGTGGGTGTGTGTGTGTGTGTGTGTGTGTGTGTGTGTGTTGTTACGACTTACAGCATCCGGACTGTGAACCAATTTACTGGGTTTTTTACTGATTGGTTACAGCTACTTACTGTCCGGTTATCGAGGCAAATTAAATAGGCATAGATTGGTAACAAGCTAAAATCGTCCGGGAGCCGAGACATCCGGATTATCGGAGTCTGGACTAGCGGGGCTTCACTGCATATCAATACAAAGCTTCTCCCCAACACTGTATCCACACACACAATAAGAACACATACAATCTGATGACAGCATGCTACCATTTAGTCCATTGGCCAAGAATAATCTTGCCAAGAGTGCTTCTTCTTGTGTGTGTAAAGAGTGAGTCAGTGACTATGGTATAATGGCACTTTTTGCAACATTCCAGCAATATCATGGCAGGAGACACCAGAAATGGGCTTCACACATTGTACCCATGAGGGGAATAGAACCCACATCTTCGACGTGACGACCCAATGCTTTAACCACTAGGCTACCCCACTGCCCCGTGTGTAAAGATATTAGGCTAAGAAATGTGACAAACATGAATGATAGCATGTAACAAGAAGGAAACTAGACGAAAGGTATTCAAATACCATATATCTAGCAAAACTGATCAAAGGGAACTGGCTCATAGGACCATAGTTATTTCTATTCTGACGTTTACACATCCATCCAATCACCTTTAGTTTTCTCTGGTAAATCATAACTTAGGGTTTTTTAGTCAACCCACAGTGGTTACACTGAAACATATACAATAATGCTTTTGTTGCTCTTAATATTTGACATTCTAACATAATGCACACACTGACTACCCAGTCAGTATACAGGCAAGAATCTCCATAACAACACTACCAACTCTTGGGAACAATTCTAAACTGCAAAGCTCAGTTTGATTTATTTGTTGACATCAAAACATTCACACATATTATACTCAGATTTCACTTGCTCGGCATCACAGGTGACTAATTGGATGAAAGTATGTATCTCACTGAAATCCAATCTTGGTAAAATATTGATGCAGGTAAACAGACTCGTTAAATTCATTACAGAATCCCTGCGCACGTCCGGTTAGTCGGCGGTGTCCCAGCAGGTGGAAGGTATGGACTCCAGGACGGACAGTTACAGTCTCCAGTGATGGGGGCAGGAGTAACACATCAGAGACCCCATAGCCAAAACATGTGTATTAACGGAGCAAGATAATGTTTTGCCCACTGAATTTTGAAAAGATCTGAGGATAGTCGCACATACAGAGGTAAGAGATCAAGATGACTGTTACTACCAACTTTCAAACTGTATGACAGCATCTGGCAAACAAGTACCGTAGTCAAATTATTCGCTCATATATATGTTTTGATAAAACACATCCAAAAAGATAGTTCTGTCTTGTGGCATGCAGAAAAATTAACAAGTTGAAGTTCTGTTTTATAACATTGTAGCAAGGTCTCGACTACAACTGCTTAACTGTTATAACATTGTACCAAAGTCTCTACTACAACTGCCAAGCTGTTATAACATTGTAGCTAGGCCTCTGCTTCAGCTGCTCAACTGTCATATGCCATGCAGAACAATGAACAAGTTGAAGTATCTGTTTTATAACATTCTAGCTAGGTCTCCACTTCAACTGTTTAACTGTTATAACATTGTAGCTAGGCCTCCACTTCAACTGCTTAACTGTTATAACATTGTAGCTAGGCCTCCACTTCAACTGATAAACTGTTATAACATTGTAGCTAGGCCTCTACTTCAGCTGCTCAACTGTTATATGCCATGCAGAACAATGAACAAGTTGAAGTTTCTGTTATATAACATTGTAGCTAGGCCTCCACTTCAACTGTTTAACTGTTATAACATTGTAGCTAGGCCTCCACTTCAACTGTTTAACTGTTATAACATTGTAGCTAGGCCTCCACTTCAACTGTTTAACTGTTATAACATTGTAGCTAGGCCTACACTTCAACTGATTAACCATTATAACATTGTAGCTAAACCTCCACTTTAACTGCTTAACTGTTATATGTTATACAGAATAACAAGCTAGTTGAGGTTTCTGTTATATAACATTGTAGCTAGACCTACACTTCAACTGTTTAACCATTTTAACATTGTAGCTAGGCCTCCAATTTAATTGCCTAACTGTTATGTATCATACAGAATAACAAGCTAGTTGAGGTTTCTGTTATATAACATTGTAGCTAGGCCTCCACTTCAACTGTTTAACTGTTATAACATTGTAGCTAGGCCTACACTTCAACTGATTAACCATTATAACATTGTAGCTAAACCTCCACTTTAACTGCTTAACTGTTATGTGTTATACAGAATAACAAGCTAGTTGAGGTTTCTGTTATATAACATTGTAGCTAGACCTACACTTCAAACATTGTAGCTAGACCTACACTTCAACTGTTTAACCATTTTAACATTGTAGCTAGGCCTCCACTTTAATTGCTTAACTGTTATGTGTCATACAGAATAACAAGCTAGTTGAGGTTTCTGTTATATAACATTGTAGCTAGACCTACACTTCAACTGTTTAACCATTATAACATTGTACCTAGGCCTACACTTTAACATAGTTAACCTTAACTGTTATGTGTCATACAGAATAACAAGCTAGTTGAGGTTTCTGTTATATAACATTGTAGCTAGACCTACACTTTAACTGTTTAACTGTTATGTGTCATACAGAATAACAAGCTAGTTGAGGTTTCTGTTATATAACATTGTAGCTAGACCTACACTTCAACTGTTTAACCATTTTAACATTGTAGCTAGGCCTCCACTTTAATTGCTTAACTGTTATGTGTCATACAGAATAACAAGCTAGTTGAGGTTTCTGTTATATAACATTGTAGCTAGACCTACACTTCAACTGTTTAACCATTTTAACATTGTAGCTAGGCCTCCACTTTAATTGCTTAACTGTTATGTGTCATACAGAATAACAAGCTAGTTGAGGTTTCTGTTATATAACATTGTAGCTAGACCTACACTTCAACTGTTTAACTGTTATAACATTGTAGCTAGGCCTCCACTTTAATTGCTTAACTGTTATGTGTCATACAGAATAACAAGCTAGTTGAGGTTTCTGTTATATAACATTGTAGCTAGACCTACACTTCAACTGTTTAACCATTTTAACATTGTAGCTAAGCCTCCACTTTAATTGTTAACTGTTATGTGTCATACAGAATAACAAGCTAGTTGAGGTTTCTGTTATATAACATTGTAGCTAGGCCTCCACTTTAAAGGCACAATGTCACCCATTTTCAACAATATTTTGGCCTTTATTTTATATATTGGTGGCACATGCACTCACTTTGTCTTCCTATTGATGCAGTAAAAGACTAATTATCCCTTATGAACACTTATGAACACTTGCCATATATGGAATGTAAAAGATTGTTCCATACATCGAAAACTGTTGCACGCAGTGTTGTCGGTGTTTGCCGAACTGGCCTCAATCACAAGTTGCATTATAGAATATTCGTAAAGAGCGCTCCAAGGGACATAACTCGAAGGGGTTCAGCTTGAAATAATGTTCGGCCATTAGAGGGCGCAAGAGTCAATTTAATGTAACGTAGCATTAATTCCTTTGAACTTTTTAATTTTATATTGTTATCTAAATATGTCATTTTTTTGGAATAAATTACATGGTAGCTTCCCTGAGGGCTGATAGTTAGTATTATTGAGAGAAATGCATTATGTAATTTTAGAGAAATGTGGTGTGACAGTGTGCCTTTAAATGCTCAACTGTTAAGTGTTATGTAGAATAATGAGCAAGTTGAAGTATCTGTTTTTATAACATTGTTGCTAGGCCTCCACTTCAACTGATTAACTGTTATGTGCAGCGTTCAAAATACCCACCTGCCCGACTGACCGGGACGGGTTATTTTCAACACGAACTGCCAGATTCTCAAATCCACCTGCCCGACGGTCGGGTTAAAATTTAGACATGTATATAAAGATATTCATCATATTTGAGGATGATAAATCATTCCTAATTCACCCCACTTCAGCGTGCAGGATAATGAACAAGTTGAAGTATCTGTTTTATAACATTGTAGATATTCTGCTTGACTGTGTGGACTTTTGACTGCAAGGGATTCACATTATGATGCAAGAAACTTGAAATATCCATGAATGCAGACTTGTTCTCGTCACTATCTGGCTGAAATAATGCCGAAGTGACTAAAAGCCCAACTCAACTCAACTCCACTGCTTAACTGTTAAAACACTGTAGCTAGGCCTCCACTTCAAATGCTCAACTGTTATGTGTCATGCTGAATAATGAGCAAAATGAATTTTATTACCCACTTGGTCAACCTATGGGTAGTTGCATACTAATCTCGTACATCACACGAGTGTCGTATCGCGGTGACCTGTGTCATAACGACTTGATCTGAGATTCCAACAATTCGATTGGATAACCGATGACTTCTCAATTAGGTCACTTTGTGGCGGAACTACTTTTTCATTCATAACAAACATGTGAATTCATTCATTCTACAACTTAAATGCATTGTGGGAATGTAAACATTGCGAACGTTGCCGTGCGGCTGTTTAATTTTGAGTCGAAAGGAGACATTATTCAAAAACATAATTTTCCACCAGTGATGTTGGTCGAGTGGAGAAACATTATATGTACTGTAGGAGGCTGTAAGAGGTGATGTCAGTTACTAAGGGCACAGACGAGAATGGCGTAGTGACGTCAATACAGTGTGACGTCATGCAAAAAGTGTACTACAATACAAAATTCTTCCGCAACCTCTTTATGAAACCGGTTTCGGTTTGAAACCAGAAAAATACAAAAATACGCTATTTTGTCAATTTAATGCATCTAAGACATGGGTAATAAATAAAATACCACACTCGGTCTCATCACATACGAATTATACGAAACTCGTGACCTTCCTGTGGTATCTCACTTTCGCTCGGTCAGATACCATAGGAAGGACACTCGTTTCGTAGTATTGGTATGTAATGAGACCTTGTGTAGTATTCTCTATATATGCTACACTTCACAGTAGGTAGGCTTCTACTTCAGCTATTATTGTCCTTCTTAGCATTAATTCCATCATGTTTAACTGCAAAGATAGCATCAATAGCTGATCAACAAAGATTTCAGAAATCCACATTTTCACTGCAATGTTGTTAGTCGAGTACAACTATTTCTTGCAACTATCAGCAAGTACTCATCACTTCAAAAACAACCCTAATCATAGGTGCCACACGACATCTAAAATAAACATTAAAAAATATTCAATCAAAATAATGAACTATATATTCTGATATTAGAAAACACTCAATAAAATGCATTCACTATATCTACTCCTTCTGACATCATAAATCCTGCCTGTACTCTGTGCTTCTATCACTTATGATATTTGCAATTTACTCATTATGAAATTGATGAGCATATTTGCCATAGTCGAGGTTGAAATCTATTATACTGGTGCACCTCAGAAAAGAGGAAGTGAGGGAATTGAGCATGTATTGTAAGGGAAATGCACAGTTCCCGGTGGAGTAAGGATGTTTACAGTGCTCTTGACAATATGCATAATCACTTGCATCATTCCAGCTACTGTTGATATAAACGATGCTGTTTGCACTTCATAGATTATGTAGATTTAATGACTTCCGATCAAGGACAACTATTGTCAACCAGAACACATTGCTATTGACAACCATGACGTTTAGTAGTTATCCAGACTTGTATTTTTAATCTTAAATACATGTACACTAGCAATGGTAGCGAATTGTATCTACCCATACAACAATGAATCATCATGACAGACTGGAATTACTCTAACTACACACACGCTATAACTTACCTGTGACGATGTCAAACAACCTAAACATCAGTTTACTCAGCATTCTTTTCGTCAAATGATTTCCATCACAAGTAACCCTATCTCATCTCGCACCATGAACATTATTTCAGGGAATGGTCTGTGCCTTATATGCTATTTGCTTTAAAATGATAAGAATAATATCAAATCATATTCTTTAATCACTCTCTATCTCTTGTCAAGCCAGTGTTTGCTATCTGTTAAATCTAATCATTGGTTAGCTTGTATAGAGTCAAAGCTAATGGTTACATTTAATGTTTAAAAGAAGTTAAGTATCCCACAGCTTACACATGCTATTGTACTGAATCTTTCAGGCCATGAATGAGTAAATCAGGTGGTCTTAACTCTTTGTATTGGTTTAACACCAAATGTGCTATTACGAGAAAAAAGCCCTCCATGGTCAGACCTAAAGCTGCTTGTGTTCTTCAAAGCATGTTTCCATGATACCCAGTATGTAGATCATAGGATAAAAAAGTCATTGGTACAAAAGTACCGGTAAAAAGTCCTTTTTACTGATATAGTTTTTCATTTGACAAGATTGACATCAAAGATTTCAAAGAAAACATGATGACTGTGGCAGTGAACATCCGACTTAACAAATATCAGTAGGCCTAGACTATCTTATGTCATCATGTGATGCATTATGTAACTTATAACTTATGATGTTTATATCAACATTTCAATCCGCCATCATGTCATCAGACTTTTACATTTGTTGTATGTGTGACAATTGAAAAACTTAAAACTAAAAAAAGCATTATTTTCTACAAATTTCTTGTACATTTTTCCGGGGATTCACTCCTGATGAATAGCACAGATCTTTTGGAAGATTATTATAAGGCTAACACCATTTAACAAAAGAATGATAAGAAGATGTCAAAAGTTAACGTCTCCCCCAAATAGCTCTTCTCACAAAGAACACAAGATGGTCAGTGTGACACTTACCTAGAAACATGGTATGAGCAATAGTCACTACAAATCCATTAGGGCTGTAACGATGCATTGAACTATCGATACATTGTAATTGCTGAGTCTCCGATAGCAATAAATCGATGGTAGAAACGAAAAACTGTCGATGCATCGATAGTATGTGTGACTATCAATAGTTTAGTAATTGACTTCCGTTGATAAATGCACAGCAAAATACAGCATGTACCAGATTGTTTCACTTTGATTTAGAGTTATCCGCCCCTATTACCTCTTAAACAACTTGACCTGGGTTTCAAGTTTCTTGTCAGTTATCAAAAGACACTGAAACTACTTCAGGTTGTTTTTATTTCATATAAACTAGACCTTCATTTGGGAAATGCCTTCAAATGAGACAATTCAAGGAGAAAAACTATTGCAATAGTATTGCAATAGTTGGTCTCAATAGTCTATCGCAATAGTATGTTGCAATAGACTATCGCTATCGCAATAGTTGTTTCCCCCTCAATAGTCACCCCTAAAATCCATTACATCATTCAACCTTTACCTTCATATCCTTCAACATTCAAGGGAGACAATTCTATAGCTATATTAATGTAAATTTTCATATACTTTCATGGATAATGACATGGTAATTGACATTGAGATATTTGACAAAGCAGTGATTGATACTGGTACCTGCAAGGAATGTGAGAATATCTGAATACATCCTAAACATTCTATTACCCATTCATCAGCAATCTGTTCAGTGTTTATTGTTTTCAATCACCATTGCTTTTATCATCAATCCATGTATCATCAGTTGGCATCGGGTGTTAAGCATGCATGTCAGCATAGCCACACCAAAGTTAGGCACCTTGTGTGTTAATTTTGTATGCAAATTGGCTGTGAAAATCTATGACGTGATTAGACAATGGCTTGTTACTAAATAGGTATTGGGTCATTATAAAAAAAAACAATGGCTCTCCCTTTTTGATAACTTGTGGGCCTTTGTATGATAATTTGATGCATTATAATCACAGCAACAATTTCTACCATTTTGTATTGTTTGCCATGTTAACTTATTATCTGTTCACCAAATCCAGTATTACATTAGCCATCCTTTCATGACTTTTTGAATTTAGGAAACTTAACATATCAGAGAATAACACTTGGAAAAATGAAACTCAAATGTGAATTTTGCCACATTTCAGATAGTTGAAAACACTCCTCAATGAACAAGAGTACAACAGAGTCCCCAGCTCCTGGGAATTCTAGTGGAGGATTCACCCCACTGGCTGTAGGCCTGATGACCGGGCAGTTCATCATGATGGTGGTGATGGTGGGGGGCAACAGCATCTTCATCCTTGCCATCATCAAGTACCGCAAACTGAAGACCATCAACAGCATGTTTGTGGCCAACCTGTCCCTGTCCGACCTCATCTTGGGGATCACCATGTCCTTCCAGATATCCTTCTTCTTTCAACCCTGGATGGAGCATGTGAAGGAGCTCTGCATCCTCAGATTCCAGTCCGTCAACCTCTTCAGCAAGGCTGCCCTGTACTCCCTCTGCCTCACTGTCATCGACCGCTTCATTGCCATCATCTACCCGTTGAAGTACACGAGCATCATGACCAACACCAAGGCATACATCCTCATCGCCATCATGTGGGTGTATGCTATCACTAATTCCCTTGTCCCAATCATCTTCGACATCAACACATGGGACACAGCTGCCTTCTGTCTGTACGAGCTTGTGACAGAGAGGGCATACCGCCTGTATATCCACACTGAAGGCCTCCTCCTCTCCATCTTCCTAATGGTGTGCTACTCCTACATCTACATGGTTGTCCGCAGACACAAGAAGAAGATTGCTACAGAAAACACTGCATCTGATCGCAGGTTCATTCAGGACAAGAAGCTGGCCAAGTTCAGCATCATCATCGCCATTGTCTTTACCATCTGCTGGCTGCCCTTTAGCATCATTCAAGAGATTCAGGCTTACCAGTTCACTGTTACTGGAGCATTTGTAGGCAACTTTGCTGTTTTTCTGGGCATTTCCAATTCAGCCATAAATCCATTTATCTACACATGGAAGAATCCAGACTTCCGCAGCGCTATTAAAAAGCTGTTAAGACTGCAACATCTTCCTCAACAAACCAATATCACTTCAGGAGGACCCACCAGTTAGGACAGACTAACATAGAGACCATAGAGACAGTACTGGCCAAGAACTGGGAAGACATCTGCACATGGGGTTGGTGTTGTAAGTAAATGTGTGCTAAATACGTAAGGACTCACCAAGTGGATGTTCTAAATCTTGCAACTGTTTCAGCTACACCACCAACATCATTGCATTGTTCTACAAGATTTGATGTGCACGATACTCTGCTTCATCACACCAGCCTGATGTCAATACTCATGTCAAGGTGATATGAGCGAGTGAGCTGGGTTTTACGTCTCTTGTAGCTATATTCCAGCAATATCACGGCGAGGGACACCAGAAATGGTGTCCATGTGGGGAATCAAACCCAGGTCTTCGGTGTGACAAGCAAACGTGTTAACCACTAGGCTACCCCACTGGCCCAAGGTGACATGAAAGGCAGTCTGTGAGTGTGGCCAGTTTCACAGCTTGCTTGGACCAGTGTTCACAACAAACACATAACTTGCTTTCATATGGCTGCTTCCATAGGCACCCTACCAATGTCACCTTATCAAAGTGAAACCAACTACATGACAGTGGCGCAGTGATGGAATCCAAGCAATACTGGAGTGAGAGAGTTTAGTTTTACTCCACACTCAGCAATATTCCAGGTATATGGGGGCAGTCTGTAAATAAGCAAGTCAGGACCAGACAATCCTGTGACCAACAGCATGAGCATCGATCTACGCAATTGGGATGCGATGACATGCATGTGTCAATCAAGTCAGCGAAGCCTGACCACCTGATCCTGTTAGTCACCTCTTATAACAAGCATGGGTTACTGAAGATCAATTCTAACCCAGACCTTCACGGGTCAGCAATACTTGACCATAACAAGGTGGTGATTCAACACATATCAGGAGTACCAGGTACTGAAGCTCACGTTGTCTGCATGGGAGAACAAGCAAAACTACTGATAGCTATTCTGGCTTAAGAAAGTTTCCTGGTTATTGGATAATTTGACTGTTTTAGAAGTAGGCTAAATCATACTGATTTGTACCTAGCCACCAAGGGAAAATATAAGTATGATAAGGGAAGCCATTATACATTTAGCTGTAGGAAGGGCACACCAAATTTACACAGAAGAAAACATAATTTCTGTATATTAGCGTACCCACGTTGCATTTGAATACAAATAAGCATGATAAATATTTCTACACTGATGGAGTAATGAAGTCCTGTAACAATACAAGCTTACAACGTGGAGAGGTAATAATAGTTAAATGTTGCTTTTGACACACTAACTTTAGCTTTAGGTGTATGCAATATGTAAAACAGGAATAAAAGATTTCACATCTATACAACTTTGATGATTTAATTTGATGATTGTTTGTACACTTAATCTAAACAGATTAAGGTATATGTTTATCCAATAAGTACAAAGAAACTGACAACTTAATGATTTGATGACACATTTGAAAATGTGACAACTTCATGACTTGAGGAGCACTTCAGGAGAAACTGACAACCACACCTGACATGTCAAAAGTAGTTATTTCAACATTCCTAGAGCACACACTCAGTAATGTAATGCAAGTTATTTTTGTTTGATTAACAGAAATAGCAACACTTTTTAGATTTTCAGGTGACTGATCACTTCCTGACTTTCCTTGTAGCTACTGAACATCACATGGTAGAGTATACAGTCTACATATCAGCCAATGAAAACATCTGTCATGCACCACTGCAACGTTGCACCAGAAGCTTTAGGACACGCCCCCAAATAGTTTGTAATTTTTAATCCAATTATGGACAGTGAGACTTTGGTTTGGTCAGGAACTGACTTTATGTATCTAAGAACACTAATATTATCAATTAAATCTGACATTTCAACTTTTTCATGTGCCTTGAATCTAATGCAGAGATGCCAACCCTATTTTGGGCCTAAGTGTAATACTAGAGGTCAAAGAGTGTAATTTGGAGCTAATAAGTGTAAAACCTGTCTGCCGATCGCTTCAAAATGGTACACATTTTCAAGAAAGGAAGATTCTAGATAGAAACACATATGACCAATCATTATGAAGCTCCATACATCGAAAATTGTTGGTCATATGACTCAAAATACTTTAAATCCTTGCAAGTTAATTGGAATGAGTGCGATGCTAAGAGTAAGCGATTCCTATCGGTGCAAGGCCATTTCTGTACCCCTGCACCTGTGCGTTACGAAACACTTCCCTGAGAAATTTTATCCACTTTATTGATTTTCATAAAACGAGTAGAAAAGCGTAATTTTCCCAGATTAAGTGTAATGGCATAATTTAATGGTCAAAATCGTAATAATTACACCTAAAGCGTAAGGGTTGGCATCTCTGCTAATGGCATCAAAAGTATTTTACAAGTAGTCAGCAAATAAAAATGAAAGATTGTCTAAAAATCAATGATCTTGTATAATGAATCCTCTTAACATTCATACCATTACAGTGAATAATTAGCACGTAGAGATATTTATTAGACATGCAAATTTTGAATTTTTCAAAATTAAAAGTTCATAACATTGAAGGATGAAATAATGACCATCCTAAATCATTTACAAAGCAATGACACTTATTGTCTGGGATGAAGGAAGTGTTGCTAAGGATGGATTCTACATTCTGCAGCCAATTAAAACATTTGTAACTATAAAATCTACTTTGTCATTGCCATGTGCATGAACAACACAATGTTGGATGACCAACATTGATATCATACGCCCACTATGAAGAGAAAAGTTAAAATGCTATCAGACATTACTTCTGATGGATGACGTCGAAGATTTGTTGCATGAGGTAGCTTTGCACTTAAAGTATTATGTTTCCCCATTTCAAAACAGACCATAGGACAGAGTTATGGATCTGTATCCTGTAACAATAACAATGTGGAAATAGCAATTGCATCAAAACCATTGTTTCAGCCAACTGAACTCACAGATAAGCATAATGAAACCATAGCCAGCCAGGCTCAGGAAGTACACTTAAATTGTGTTGACTTAGATGAAAGGCAACACAGATGAATAATAGTGTCATGTTCATGGAAACCAGCACATCAAATTAATTGCAAAGAAATAAAAATAAAACAAGATCTCTGACCTGATAGGAAATTGTTTTTTTACCATCTGTATTATCATGTTACAACATACCTGTCACTTTTATGCTTCACATTTTATCAGATAAAATTAATCACCACTGTATCAATATCATAATCGTTATATAGGCATTTCACAGAAGTGGCCCCGTAGATTACAAAGGAGATACAATAACACCTCCTCTCCCATGCTACTTAGCAACATTTCAGTACAGATCCCAATACCACTGTCAACCAAACCTGTTTTTCAATCTTTATGTGATTTTTGTCCATCATGACACAATATTTTTTACTGATAATACTTTTGCTGCTAATACTTCATACACCCCATGAATGTTAACTTCCTGTTAATGGTTCACCTACCATATATAATTCTGTACCATGTTCACATGATCTATTCTTGCTTGACAACAGTACAAGAATCTACAACAGAATGTTGTTTAACAGTAGAGTGAAAAAGTTGTTATCCTTAAACTGTGTCATTATTGTCATGATCCTTCAGAATTGTCCAGTTGCAATGTATCTTGATGTAGCAATGCACTACTGTTCCCCTCCAGAACAACTCAGTTTCAGCTTGAAGTCATATTAGCTCTGTAAATGGAGTGTCACACCCTAACCACTTAAATCATTCATCAGGTCTTCATTCTCTTCACATAAATATTACTACCGAGCATACAGCACTTCCTTTCTCATGCATCTCTGCCAAGCTTACAGATTATGTGAAACGTGATCTGATTGGCTGCTCACCTGAAAGTGTCCACATTAACCAATCAATACTTCTGTAATATCAATCAAACCTGTCACACACTCTCCAACTCTCACATGCCTAGCTGTCAGAGTTACCTAAAATGGCAGCTGTTTGAGTAGTCTGTGTAGACAGTACTATCTGGACTGGGTCATGGCTGGTTTGACCACTTTCTGTGCTCTGTACACACTACTGAACCAACACATACATCTAACACCAGAAGCACAAAACAAACAGCCTACTGCTCTTATTACACACATATTTGCAGTTACTTTGATTATGGACGAGTGGTGAAAGATTTTGAAATTGAGACCCTCTTCAGTCAGAGTATTAAACCCTCTCATCACCAAACCAGCAACACTTGAACAAAATGTTGACCGTGGCATATAATGCCTGCAAACCGCATTATCATGTCTGCACTCAAGACACCTGGGTAGTTTTTCACTGTATTCATTAACTTTTAAAGTAGGTCACTACAGAACTAACCATATTCAGCCACTTTCAAAGTAGGTCACTTCAGAACTATCCGTAGTCAGCAACTTTCAAAGAAGGTGACTTCAGAACTATCCGTATTCAGCAACTTTCAAAGTAGGTCACTTCAGAACTATCCGTATTCAGCAACTTTTAAAGTAGGTCACTTCAGAACTATCCATATTCAGCAACTTTTAAAGTAGGTCACTTCAGAACTATCCATATTCAGCAACTTTTAAAGTAGGTCACTTCAGAACTATCCGTATTCAGCAACTTTCAAAGTAGGACTTCACTTCAGAACTATCCAGAACTATCCGCAGACTCAGCAACTTTTAAAGTAGGTCACTTCAGAACTATCCATATTCAGCAACTTTTAAAGTAGGTGACTTCAGAACTATCCGTATTCAGCAACTTTCAAAGAAGGTCACTTCAGAACTATCCGTATTCAGCAACTTTCAAAGTAGGTCACTTCAGTACGAACCATATTCAGCAACTTTCAAAGTAGGTCACTTCAGAACTATCCGTAGTCAGCAACTTTCAAAGAAGGTGACTTAAGAACTATCTGTAGTCAGCAACTTTCAAAGAAGGTCACTTAAGAACTATCCGTATTCAGCAACTTTTAAAGTAGGTCACTTCAGAACTATCCGTATTCAGCAACTTTTAAAGTAGGTCACTTCAGAACTATCCATTTTCAGCAACTTTTAAAGTAGGTCACTTCAGAACTATCCGTATTCAGCAACTTTCAAAGTAGGTCACTTCAGAACTATCCGTATTCAGCAACTTTTAAAAGTAGGTCACTTCAGAACTATCCGTATTCAGCAACTTTTAAAGTAGGTCACTTCAGAACTATCCGTATTCAGCCACTTTCAACAACTAACTTTAGGTACTTTCAAGGCTGGTCACATCAGAACAATCAACATTCATAGTTTCTTCAAAGTAGGTCTCATAAAAACTATCCATATTCAACTCCTTTCAAAGTGGGTCATAGCAATCACCCGTGAAGATCCGGGTTAGAAATGTTGAGTTGAGTTGAGTTGGGCTTTACGTCACATCGGTATTATTCCAGCCATATAGTGACGAGAACATGTCTGCATTAATAAACGTTGTAAGTACAGAGTCAAAATGAGTTTTATTTCAAAAACATATATTCATTACATTGTCATTTAAAGACAGAAAAATGCATAGCACTAAATTTAAAGGCAGGCAATTTGTTTGTCACATTACACAGTTACAATTTATGATACAGATCAACTTCCTTCAGGTAGTTCACTATTAGAAGAACGCTCACGCGGAGAACAGATCTTTCAGATTTTTTGCATCATAGTGCGAGTCCCTTGCAGACGATAAGTCCACACAGTCAAGCAGA